CATTATCGGATTTATATGAACATCCATTATATGTGTATTTATTTCATAAGCCCGTTTCCACTGATGTGCAAAGGCCTCCCCCTCTTTTCCATTTGCTCTCAATTTTGGGCAAAGTCTGGCCAGTCCTTCAAAAGTCCAAATCATCCCGCCATCGCCGACGAGGTTAACAGCGTCTCCTTCCTGAGTATTGAGACTTCCACTCTGTTGTCCTGGTCCACAACTCGCTCGGCATGCGGCAGACCTGACCAGCCCAGTCCAACTCCAATTTAGCCGCATTCAGAGCTACATCCACAATTTGGGTTTGTGAGCGCAGCGCAGCCGGGGTTATGTGGAACTGGGCTAAACCCTGAAACCCTATCGCTCGTCCGCGCCTCCACCAGCGGCTGGCCGCGCCCAGCGCAGCCCCTCCCCAAGAAGGGAGACACAACGGTCCCCCGACTCCAAATGTAAGGTTCGCCGAACACCAGACGAGCCTTCCATCTCGGGCCTCTCCATGCTGTGCAGCGAACTCCCCCGAGTCCGTTACCCAGGGGCCATGGGGCCAGGGGCCATGGGGGCAGGACAACATCCCCTTAACTGTGAAGTTCAGAGGATGTTTCCCCAGCCCCCGCGGCGGATCTGTTGGTAGGCTCCGCTGCAACACCCTACTCGCATCCACGTGGATTCTCCGTAGAAAGTTCTTTGGAGCGCCCACCGCAAGAGCCAATCGCCCAAATTCGGCCGCGCAGGACAGGACGAGCGGCAACGACACACCGACACGTCTCTTCCCCCGCGACTCTCCTCCCCGCATGCGTCCACGCGGACTCGCTCGGCCTAGGTCAAGACGAGCCCGTGCAGTACGCCCTCCTCCTCGGGCCAGCCTAGCTCCATCGGCCGGCCCGTGAGTTCCTCTTAGCTTCACCGTGGGATGAAATCGACCACGGCTACTAGAGTCCCCCCGCCACGACAAGGCGGGAACCCATTCGGGGGGAACTTAATCTAACCTAACCGAACCTAATCGAGTCTTTGCGATAAACATTCAACATATCCTGAAAGAACAACTGTTACATTGTTACACTGTTACGTATTCGGACAAAAAAAATGTCGAGTTTGTGATAGGTTACCATTTAAGTGACATCGGTATGTCACCCTTCTTTACGTGCTTCATACACGTAGTTCCTCCAGGCGTTCTCGGTCCGTCTTTCAATCTCGTTCCCTTGTCGTGCCTGGAAAGATGCAAACTGGCCTAAATACAGGTGTTCAAAGACAAATCCATTGCATAAATTTCAAAAACTGCCTCTGTGGCCGAACGGGTACCACGACTGGTTCACGAAATTGTATGTTCTTGGACATTTGAACATAAAACGGTCCGGATGTATAATAAATCTTTCAATGTTTTATCAGGATGGTCACCCTAGTTCCGTGGCGAAACCGTATCTGTGTTAATTAGCTTGTATAACGAGCAGGTCATCGCTAATATCACCTGCTAATGAGATACATAAACGCAGAAGTTTTTACCTATCAGTAGCAGTTGAGGTCCTTGTGACTGAGTTCGTCCAGGGTAGTACTGCCACCTTACCTACCTTACGTACCTTACCTATATCTGCCGCCAAGCAGTAATGTGAGCATTACTGTGTTCCGGTTTTGAAGGGTAATGGGTGCTGGTGAAATTATAGGCAAATGGGACTTGTCAACTTGAATCTCTGGATGACGGGCGCACTGGCAGTGCCCCTCAGATCTTTGAGATTTAAAGCTCTGAGTGTCACTGCAACTGTTCTGGACATGCGAGTAGCTCACGTCATTTAGTATTATAAAAAAGGCCGGATCGAAACCACGGCCTCTGCTTGAGCCGCGATGGGTCAAATGAATTAGGCTTTTGTTACAAAATATTGGTTTATTATAATCGTGACTAACGTAAGTGATAGATAAAAACTTTTTTTAGATAATATCAAGTGACGGAACGAACAAGTCGTGTGTCTGGTTGTAAACGACACGCCTGTTCATAACAGTGGCAATGTAACTCGGGAGCTTTAAATCGCAAAGATCTGAGGGGCACTGCAACATCGCCCGTCACCCTGAGACATACGTTGACAAGTCTCATGTGCCTGTAATTTCACCCTTACTCTTTAAAACCGAAACGCTGTAATGCTCATATTACTGCTTCCCTGGAGAAATAGGTAGTATTTTCCTGGACGAATTTTTTCACAAAGTACTCTGCTGCTACTGAGACAAGAAATATTTCTAGTTTACTTAGACCTCGTATAGAACCTCAAGTTGTACCAAAAACCTACATTTATTCGTAAATACTTAAATAATAACTACCTATGTCAATATATAATAGAGTACTAATAGAATTTCAATAATTCTTGCACAATAAAACTAAAGTAGGTAATTTGCTTTTACTACATCATGTATAAATACTAGAATATACATTAAATATAAAGCTAGTTTGACTAGCTTGTCTCTCCATGTCTGTACACTGCAATAAAAGCACAAAAAGGCTTTTGCTTGCAAGCTTGGTTTAAAAGCTGCGTTCAAGTTTAACTTAAAGACTCTACTTAATATTTTTTACATTTTCTAAAAAAGCTGCCAAGTTTGGTAATTAAGTAAAACTTGAAAGTGTTGTAAAATTGTAAAATGATGTAAATGGAATAACGAAGTTACAAAGAAAGGGAATTTAATTAGTATTATTTTTATGGGGTGAGTAGAAAACAAGATGGCGGCGCTAAACGAAGTTTCGAAAGCTTGAACGCGGTCGTACCACGGGGAGGTGAAGTAGGCGAGGTGCGAGGAGGGGCGCATGCGTAGCGAGCGGCTGGGGTCGCATTCCAGTAGTTTGCCCGACCGCGGCGCGGTCCCCACGTCGTATAGTCCGCGCGCGACGCCTCACAATACAAAGAACTCTGTATTGTAAAAAATCTGTGATGTATTGATTAATTCCAACGTTCAAACATCAGTGTAACACCAAAACTTATGCAAAATATCAATTAAAGACCAGTGTACGTGTTAGAAGTGCATCGATTGACTCGTTTTTCGAGCCACGTCTCTTGGAATTCCACATTTATCGATGAATAGAATCTAGTGTGTGCAAGGAACATGGTGGACGAGACTGTGTGTTGAAAACGAATTGTGTTTTCTGTGTGAATTGTGGTCGTTTATCAAAGAAATACAACACAAAATGAGTTGATAATTGTAAATATGGATTGGAATAAGTGTTTGGCGACCAGATTGGTGTAAAAGTATCACTAGTTCTTCGATCGAATGTAAGAGCATAAAGAAGCCAGAATGGTGTCTTTGGGTTATTTCGGATTACGGCAAACGCCCTGGACGATTATTGTCATAATATTCTTCATTGAAAGCGTAATGGGTAATTACGCGAAATCATTCTACATACATTGGAACACAACTAATAGCATATTTAGAATAGATAATACAGATCATGTATTCGATTTGAATAAAGGGAATGCCCAATTCGAATATGATCAAGTCAATATTATATGTCCCGTTTATCCGCCAGGGACGTTTGAGGAAGATACAGAAAAGTATATAATATACAATGTGAGTAAAGAAGAATATGATACGTGTAGGATAACCAATCCGAATCCCCGGATAATAGCGATATGTGATAAACCTCACAAATTGATGTTTTTCACAATAACCTTCCGACCGTTCACACCTCAACCGGGCGGTTTGGAATTCCTGCCTGGGAAGGACTACTATTTTATATCTACATCTAGTAAGGACGACTTACACAGACGCATCGGCGGGCGTTGCCTTAGCCATAACATGAAGCTGGTTTTCCGCGTGTGCTGCAAGCCGGAGGATCAATCGCCAGCTCCTCCTCCACAGCCATCTCTCCCACCACCACCTCCGCCGCCGCCTACTACATCCACAACAACTACAACGACGACAACTTTCAAGCCTGTAACGAAGAAGACGCATAAATATGACAAGACGCCCAACGAAGTTGTCAAAAGCGAGGAGTTGTCGTATTCCCGAGGAGCAGCACTTGCATCTTCCCTTGCCTTGGCTCTGGCTGCTAGTGCAGTGCTAGCGCCTTTAGCTCGGTGAATGTGCGCTCGAGCGGCGCGGCATCCGCGTCCCGACCTCTTGGCGAAGCCGTGTCCTGCTCACACAACCCAAACTTTACAATCTTTACAATCACTACATTTGCGTCCTGACACTCTAGTCTACACTTAAAGTGATGTGACGTGCTAGTGATAGTGGATTGCCCCATAATGTGGATTGAGGATGTTTTGTAAGTAAGTACTTAGAAGACTTATAGGTTCAATGTTCATGGTTGGTCCGAAGATTGGTGCCGAAAAGTATTCAGTTTCGACAGTGTTGTGCTACTTTTGTTCCACAGTAAAGTTCCAAAATGACAAATTTTTAGTCTGTAAGGAGTCTTGGAAGCCTAATTTTTACTATTTGTATAAATATAAGTATTATTGGGCCTACTGAATAATCGAACTATTACGGTAATTTCTGCATATGACTGCAGAACGTAGTTATGCAACTCTTAAAGTATATATATAAAGAATGTTAACATGTATTGGTAATAGGTTTCTTAAACCACTAGGAATTAAACAATTTTTATATTTTCATTAACGCAATGAAGGATATTTGATTAAGAATTAGGATTCAGAAGGAATCGGATTACAGATTTAATACATATAAGAATGAATTGTAGGTAGTTTTTAATTTAGTTCAAAAGACACTTTATTTCCGTATGACTTAAATTGGTTAGAATTTTATTTATATGAAAAGTGAAGGCAAGTTCTGAATCTTGTCCTTTTGTACTGTGATTTTGGTTTTACTTAGAATGTATTTCTTTATATTATGCTTTTATTATGTGATATTGTAAAATGTATTTAACAATCTTGATTCTTCACTGACTGATTTTTGCATTTCTGCTTTTTTACGCAATTATTTCTATATAAAGTACATCGATTTTATAGCGCAAGTGTTTGAACACTAATTTCACATCGCTTTAAAGTTTTGTTGTAATTTTTACTCTTTATAGAGTGAAAGAGACAGCAATAGTTTAAAGAGTAAAGAATACAGTTAGTGCGAGTTCAAAAATATGCAAAGTACAGTCGATAGCAGCTGTATTGAGAAATATAGAAATACCAGTATTATGAATGTTTTCCGTACAATTTCAAGTAGCTGTTTAAAAGGGAAATAATATAATATCATCATAAAAAAAAAAATCTGAAAAAATGTCCAAGTTTATGAATTTCTTGTTTTCTTTATTTGACAACGAATTTTTATTAAGGAGTTACATAACTTGGGACTGTTGCATTTGTCAAAACTTCATGTCTTTTTCTATTAACAAGGCAAGGTATAAGAGACTTGTATAATGTAGAAGAACTTTGATAAGTGCCAGCAGTTTCTATGAAAAAAACTTCTTGCTAAATCTTAAAAAATAAATATTTATTTTAAAACGTACAGTTACTGCACTTACTCGTGCCATGTGTAAAACAAAATAGATACAATTAAATAAAATAGTCAAATAGTTATAATAGTAGTTGAAATAGAGCCGGTTTTCAGTTAGCCATTACGCATTTAGCTACAGTTGATATTTTTAGGTAGTATTTAAGAAAAACAATGCGATTTTCGTTTAAAAACTGAGTTACAAACATAACTTTCACGTCTATGGATGTGTGCATACTTAGATGTTGAAAAAATACAAAATTCGTAATTCTAAAATAACAACAAAAACAAGTTTCTGAATTGAAGAACGCTCGAGAACTTCTCAAGGGAACTTTGTGATATTATGAGTGTTGTTACCGTGAATTACTCAAGGGAATTTCATGAAGAATTCGAAAAATGAGTTTGAATAAGGAACATTTACATAGAAGTCCCATAAAATTCTTATATATCGCTGCTTCAAAAATAGTCGCCCAATCCATAATGATCCTTTTCTTTTGATATTACTGAGGTTTATTCAGAAAATGCTAAATATATTTGTGACTGGGATTCTAAACATTTTTGATTGGTTAGAATATAATTATATGACAACTTTGAGATGGTCTACGAATTGTAAACTTTGAGGGGCAGACACGTGCCAGTTTTTTAAACTATATTCCTAATGAATTAGATTCTTTTGAGAGAAGACGTTTTTTCTAAAAAGCCACATATATGTCTATCTTAAGAAAGTAATATTATTTTACAAAAAACATCGTGACCCAAAAACAAAAATCTAAATCGACCATAGACTTGGCCGTATCATTACTGTGCACGAAAATATCGAAAGGTAAACACAATATTACGTAAATAAACGTGTCGATACGCCTTGTAAACCTAAACATTAACTGATTGTTTGATTGAACGCAACCTTTGTTTGGGTTACATTTGATTGCATTATACGGACAAATGTGAAATGATACAAGCCTTTATATCAGATAAATACGTATAAAAATATTAAATATCGTAAATAGCGCCAAGTTCACTTTTTATTTCAAATTAACTAAAAATCGATTCATAAAATTCTAAACTTTTGCGTTTATTGACTACAACGATTGTCAATTAAAAACAACCGTGTTTGGTTTGACCTATCGTTTCTTAAACATAGAGTTTTGGATTCGAATCCGGGAAGCTGAGTTTTTCGGAATTTATATGCGAAATGTAATTAGAACTCGGTGAAGGACAACATCAATCTGATGTTAAGTTCCTCATCCGCATAGGGCCCACGTGGAAACTACAGCCCTGAGTCTAAGCAAGTCCACTTATGAAAAAAAAAAGAAACTGAAAACATTTGCACCAAATGAAATTTGGCTAATTCTCTTTAAAAACAAAACGTAGAACACCGAAGGCATATTTTCTAATTAATAAAAAGGTAAAGAAAGTCGACGAACCCCATTACGAGGTCACCGACGATAATTAAAATTAATTACATCGCAATTACTGTTGAAAGTGATTTATTTTTATTCATATATTATGCTGCAAGGCTGTTAGAGCATACCATTTTGTACGGCGGCCTCAGTGGCATAGCTGTGAAGTTCTTTTATCATTACATAAAGCCCTGAATTTACTTATAATTGTACCAACATAGAAAAATAACTATTGGCAGTTAGTCACTTTTGTCTTAGCATGAAGTAAAACATGCTGCGATATTTTTTCTCGATTTGAGAGCAAAATGGAATAAGTTCAAAATGTTATTGTTTTGATATTAGAGTCTCGGATAACCCCATTTTTTGGAGCTATCTTCACTCATAAAGTCAAATAATCTTTATTTTATAGGTAAGCAAATTACAAAGTAGTAAATTTAGCAGCAGTTGAGGTCCTTGTGAAAGAGTTCGTCCAGGGAAGTACTGCCACCTTACCTATTTCTGCCGCCAAGCAGTAATGTCAGCATTACTGAGTTCCGGTTTTGAAGGGTAAGGGGTGCCGGTAAAATTATAGGCAAATGGGACTTGTCAACTTGTCATCTCAGGGTGACGGGCGCAGTGGCAGTGCCCCTCAGATCTTTGAGATTTAAAGCTCTGAGTGGCACTGCAACTGTTATGGACATGCGAGTAGCTTACGTCATTTAGTATTATAAAAAAAGGCCGGATTGAACCCACGACCTCTGCTTGCGACGCGGTGGATCAAGTGAATTAGGCTTTTGTTAGAAAATATTGGTTTATTATAATCGTGATTAACGTAAGTGATAGATAAATACTTTTTTTTATAATATCAAGTGACGGAACGAAACAAGTCGTGTGTCTGGTTGTAAACGACACGCCTGTTCATAACAGTTGCAACGCCACTCGGGAGCTTTAAATCGCAAAGATCTGAGGGGCACTGCAACATGCCTGTAATTTCACCTTTATTCTTCAAAACCGAAACGATGTAATGCTCATATTTTTGCTTCGCGGGAGAAATAGCACATGGGACTTGTCAATTTGTATCTCAGGGTGACGGGCAGCGCCCATAAGATCTTTGCGATTTAAAGCTCTGAGTAGCACTGCAACTGTCATGGATAGGCGTGTCACTTACCACCAGGTGTATTCGTCCGGTCACTTGGTATTTAAAAAAAAACTATTATTGACTTCCGGTTACTTATAAACTGTACCTTGAAGTGGAGGTTTTATGTCTGTCCGGTCCATTAGGAGACCGTCTGATTTATATTGTCTTTAAAGTTTATTAACTCAAGTACGAAGTAAAGTACGTAGTTATTCTTCTGCAAATTGCGCTATTGTTTTTAGGTAATTACTACTTATGAAAATGGTTAGGTTAGTGAAGGGTTATTAAAACAGCAAGTGATTTAATTTAACTTTTTGTAATGCAACTGCAGAAGTGTTAACGGTTTTAAATATAACAACTTATTATAAATAATTCTCACGTTTTAATCCTTAAAGTTATGAAATAAAGTTTTCACTAAAAACCTTAACATCGCTACGCAATTATGTTTTTTATAATCAATCATTATAATGGGAAACCAAGTGATCAAGCCCCGTGCGGATCGCGCGGTCTGGCGATAAATAGCTCTATATAGCCGCTATCAGCAAGGTTTGATTAACTTATTGCCTTTACCAGTAAGTAATTGAAAATTATTACTAAGGCAATAAATTAATAACTATTTTCGTGCTGTAATAAATTGTCGCAAGTAAAATCTATGTCGGCCATGGAATGGAATTCCCTATCTGCAGACTTAGTTCCCTGAACCGAATAACTACCGTCTTTTCAAGGCAAGATTGAATGGGAATTATTTAGGTGAGCATGCTCTATCATCCTCATTGTCACTTTAAATCAAATGAGATGGAGGTCAAAATTCTTTGTGATAAAAATTTCGTGTTATTATTAGTAGAGATAATACGCAAATAAAATAAATAATCTCTCACTAAATTCCCGGTATTACAAAATATAAAAGGTGAAAATCAAAACATTTTATTTACAGTACACTGCCGTAGTAAAGTACTTATTCGTTACTCATCAAAAATATGAAACAAAATACGATATAATCAAATGTAGCCTTAAAACAACATTGGCTTGAGGCTATTTTGCGCCATTTAGCGCTAAATTGCGCTATATCGCTCTTACGTTGTAAAAGTGTATCTATTTTGAATAAATGAGTTTCAATTTACATCGGTAAATTACTAGTACTTGACGTGAATGGAGAAAATTGCATTTAAAATTAGTCTGTTGATGAGGGATCGGCTAAATGATGTTTAATGTTGTACGACACATTGGATTTTTAATAAGTTTTCTGTTTTATCACGTGGGCGTGTGTTCAGGAGTACCTTACCTTATTTATAATAATAAACTAAACAAAAAAAAAACTAAATAATTACGACTTTGATGACTTCGGTGGCCTAACGGTTTGTACTGGCTGGATAAGGTGCCGGGATTCTATTGTTTGAGAGTATTAATATTTTACAAATTTTTCGTACAACGGTCAATATTTGAAAAAAAAAGAAACGTTTACACAACATTTCCTACTCATAAATGACCATTTTAGCGTTGAGCATTTGTAAATCCCGACCTTGTTTTAAAAAACAGCCTAA